CCAGAGGCAGCAGTGATGGCAGTGGAGACGCAGGGCAGCCCCACACAGGCTCCAGGCAGCTGCAGCAGGGAGCTGGCAGCAGGAGGAGTAGGAGGGGCTGCTTTCCCCCAGCGCTGCACAGGCCCAACCCTGTGTGCTCCACACCTGCTCCAGGCCCCCCCTCTTAGGCTTAGCAGCAGCAGTGTGGGACAAAAGCTGTTGCTCAGCACGGGGTAAAAGCAGCCCCTTCCCCTCCCACTGCCAGCAACTCCCTGCTGCAGCCGACCGGAGCCTATGTGGGGCTGCCCTGCATCTCTGCTGTCATCACCATCACCTCTGACTGCCCCATGGGGCAGCGGTAGCAGTGCAAAGCAGACGCAGGGCAGCCCTGTATGGGCTCTGAGCGGCTGCAGCAGGGAGCTTCCGGCAGCAGGAAGGGGTGTGGGAGGGGCCACTTTTACCCTGCGCTGAGCAACAGCTTTTTTCCTGTGCTGCCACTGCTGAGCCTGGGTGGGTGAGCCCGGAGCAGGTGCGTGGGGCCGGGGCTTCACAGTGTGGGTCTCCACCAGTACCGTGGGGCTGGGGCTGGCGGTGGTGGCAGCCAGAAGGAGCCGCCACTACCCGCACTGCCTAGAAAGGCAGTCCAGCTGCAGAGCTGCCCCAGCCTCGCTGTGTGCCCAGGGGGCGGCAGGGTGTGCCACAGGTCAGGGCCGTGCGTGGGTTCTGGTTTATCCACTCTGATGGGGGAGAGTCCAGAGCAGGTCTGGGGCATGCTGGGGCTGTGTGCTGTTAGCGGTGGCAGGGAGGTGCCACAGGGCACACGGGCTCTGGGCTGTTGTGAGGCAGGGACTGACTGGCTTGGGGGGCATGCACGAGGGGTTCCCATGCACACCCCACCATACCCACAAACACAACCTCCCACAGACCCCCCCATACCCCCCCACACCCACTCACACCCGCACATCCCCCCTCCCCACAACCCACAATCCACAGCCCCCCACAAACCTCATACCCACCCCTCCATACCCCCCGCCCCTCCACACTCCCTTGCAATATACAAGAGTAAGACCTCATTTTGAGCGATTATGTAATCACCTCTATATACACACCACACAAACGCACACAAATCAGGACAAAAATATTGTTTAAAATTAAATTTAAAATATGTTATTGTCAGTGTTTAATTTTTAGTATACAATTTGTTTTGTTTTTTTCAGTTCCAAGATGGCAAGCCCCCTTCCCAAAAGGAGTAGTTCTTGGGGTAAGGGGAGGGACTTCCTGTGGCAAAGTTCAGGGTTTAGGGGGCAGGACTTCCAGTCCCAAGATGGTGACTAGGGTGGGGGACCTACCAAGGGGCAGGTCTACTCTAGCAGCCCTCAACACCTCACCATGACTCATTAAGCAGTCCTCGACCCAAAATAATTGCCCACCCCTTTTCGCTCTCTCATATATACATAAATATTAGGGGTGTGCGAAGCTTCGGGCGCTGATTCGATTTGGAGGAGATTCAGCCCGATTTGGTAGCCAAATCTCCAAATCCAAATCAAATTAGGGGGACCAATAAAAAGGTCTGAATTGATTTGAAGCTCTCCAAATTGATTTGGAAAAGATTCGGAAAGCTCAGATGATTCGGGCAGCCCCCGCTGGCTGCAGCAGGGAGCTGGACATGGATTTGAAGCTGGTAAGTAGCGGGTGGGGGAGGGGAGGCTGGAGGAGGGGGGAGGGGACCATGGGGGGACCCCTGCTAGGCCCCATCCCCTGCCTGCTCCCCCAAACCCCAAACTCCTGCTTACTCCCCCAGCCTCCCCCATGGGTGCCCCACCTGCCCCAGCTCCCAGCCCTTTAAAAAACAGCCTTTACTCACTGGTGCTGCCTGGCAGGGGGCAATCCCTGCTGCCTCCCACTGCCCCACACTGCATGGGGGGTTCTGTGACGAGCCCCCTGCCACCCTGCTCTGCCCGCCTGCCCCAGCTCTAGCCCTTTAAGAGAAACTCCCCGCACTCACCAGCTCCTGCAGTGGCCTCGGGGCATTGGGGGGCTTGTGGAAGAGCCCCCCATGCAGTGCGGGGTAGTGGGGGACAGCAGGGATCACCCCCCGCCAGACAGGAACTGGTGAGCCTGGGGTTTTTTAGTTGTTTTTTTTTTCTTAAAGGGCCAGAGCTGTGGCAGGCAGGGCAGCCATGGGGGGGCCTGGGACAGTGGGGGGG